CATTCTGTACATTCACGATAGCTTGCATAACTTTATTAACGTTTGGAGTATTTTGAAACTTGGTGATAAGGACTTTCATGGCTGCAATCATAGTCTTAACTAGTGGCTTGGGTGCAGACTGATCTTCTGCAGTTTCAATACAGACGAGTGCTTTCCTGAGGTAATCGCTGAAGAAGGTGGCGTGCTCGTAGGTGTCGTTGGGCCATGCTGCCGCTTGAGGCCACGGTGTCCCCATAGCGCTTGTACTACACTGGGCAATGCGTGCAAGCTTAGGGTGATCAACTGGCCTAAAGGAGGGCTGCTGAATGTGGTTTGGATAGCTTGATTTCAAAAATTTGGTTCTCGCTTTTTGTGTTGTTTTCTTCTGGCTCTAGTGGCTCTAATTAGATTACCTAGAGCCGGTCACATGACTATGTTAATCTCGTGATTTAGTCATGTGATGCGGAATATGTTACCCGATATAACACAACGTGCATTCCCTGTTGAGCTGAATGCTGGAGATGAGTAAGAAGGGCATAACTCCTTCATATCGTCGTGCTAGATCGGGTCGTCCCGTACCTTAGCAGCCAAAGCTTTAAGATCACACCACCCATCAGGTATTTCAGCTTTAGATCTATCTTTTATACTTAGTAGTCAATGCTCTGATAATGATATGAGTGATATTGCTGTCATCCATTTAAATCAAATAATAGAGGTCAGTCCGTTCGCCAGTTTTCAAATCAGTGATGCGGACTTGTCCAAGAATGGCGCAAAGTAAAACTGCTCCAGACCTCGAATTGCAAGGAATCACATAGCGGCTACAACATATCAGATCTCGTCTTATCAAGAACCTTCTTCCAAGCTTGATCCACTTTGGAAAGCGTTCATTTGCCAAATGAAAGACTGACGTAATATAAAGTGGAGAATATTGGCGAAACTCACCTAACCCAGCCCGTATTGAACCATAACCTCCCATTAGTGCTATACATAAATGATGGTTGTGCATATTTCAGCTTGTGGATGATTATTCTACTAGGTGGCTACCTAGGCTTGGATTTGTTCTGGTATACTTATTTATCCTAGACTATAGGAAGGTTTTGTCCAGACAGAGTTCTGTACTGGGATAGTGCTTTTGGGTATTATAATCATATTTAAGGAAAAGGGAAATGCAACTATACAAGCCATACACCTTCATCTTTTTTTCCAAGGCCGAAGGTCCTCAATAGACCCTTGCTAGAATTATATAAGCTGATCTTTGCTATTGGAACAGCATCCAAATTTAGAATAGAGTGAGGAAGGTCCTAATTGGCCTTGACAAAACAGGAAATTGTTACGAGGTTTGCCGTCTAGATCACGTGGAAGTGCTCCAGGCTCTCGAGGTGGTTTATAACTAGGCGTCAAGCAGGGACTTAAGTAATGACAATAATGATATGCAATTCGTAACTAATAGTAGAGTATACTAAATGATTGATCTTGAGCACGAAGCTCTACACAAAGGAAACCATCCTGATTATATAGACCTTCGTCCTCCATTGGATCTCTTGGATCCTGAGAGTTTGTGGACCTTCGATTCGTATGGACCTACGATTTGTATCCCTGAATATGCAGGGTCCATCACGTGACTTGGATCAGACTATATGTCTGTGCTTGCTGAAGGTGGGGAGACTCTACGAACCGATTACCATACAAAATTGTATGCGAATCGGTTTGCTTTTCCACGGGGTCTAAGCTCATATGGACAGGTTGACTGTTACTACGTAACACTATCCCCTTCTTAGCCTAGTGCTTGTCCCAAGCTCTTATAGTCACGTTTCCTGCTGTGTTATGATTTTTCGGAAGATAACTTTTCTTCTTTTCTTCCATCATGCCACCTGTACGATCAAAGAAATATAAAGAACGAGTCGAACTTGCTTTAATAATTGAATCTGAAGGGTTCGAGATGCCTCCATGTACTTATTGTGAAAAACATTCACGTCGTTGTATTGTTGCTAAGGAAAATTCCAATCGTTGTAGTGAATGCGCTCGTCGGGGCCAGCGATGTGATATATCGGGTCCTTCTTCCGGAGATATGACGAGCATTATTCAGGAGCAGGAGCGTTTGGATCGCGAGCGCGAAGAGACTTTGTCGAAATTGCTTCGTCTAGATAAGCAACAACGCTTCCTTCGTGGGCGGGCTTCTGAAATGATTCGTCGTGGTTTAAAAACAATGGATGAGTTGGATGATGCAGAGGAGAAGGAAAGATTGGGTAAGGAGCGTATAGGGAAGGAGCAGTCAATTTCTGGGTTGTCAATGCCTGCTGAAGCTAGTTCTGATGTGCTGGATAACTTCAATCCTTCTTCTTTCCTGAGTCCTTCGGACCCCTTTTCCTTTCAGAATTCTTCGGGTCCTTTTTGGGGAGATCCGGATAGCGTTGGTGAAATGCCTCCAACTTCTCAGGGCAGCTGAGATCTTTCTTGAGCTCCCAAGTGTTTTCTGAATGTGGGTAATCCAACCATTTGATCAGATATTTGATCTTGCCTCTGACGTATTTACAATCTAGTATGGTTTCAACGTCGTATATGGCGTCTGGGTTGACTGGTTCGATTTCCGTTATTGGCGCATCGGGCGCTCCTGGTGGTGCTGGTTCAAGCAAGGATATATGGAATACTGGGTGAATATTCATGGTGTGTGGTAGTTTTAGTCTATAGTTAACTGGTCCAATTACCTTGTCGATTTTAAATGGTCCTAGTTTCTTGTGATCTAGTTTATTGCATGGGTCGTTTTGTCTGTATGTTTCTTCGAATGAGATAAACTTTATCCCCCTCTTTAAGCGTAGGTCCTATACTATATGATTCGTTGTAGTACGACGCTGTTCTTAAAGCGATGAACTGTAAATCCAAGGAAAGTTGTTCTTGTAGTTCCTTGATTTCTGTGATATCTTTTATGGCTTCGTCTGCATTCGCATCTTGTAGCAATGGTGATTTATATGCTAGTGGATTGAACCCGAAGTTAGCATAAGCTGGCGTCACTTTTGTTGTTTCCGTTTCCGATGTATTATATGCGAATTGTGCCAAGGGTAATAGTTTAACCCAATTGTCTTGTTTGTAATTGATGTAGCAGCGAAGATAGGCTTCCATCGTTTGGTTTAATCGTTCCGTTTGGCCATCTGTTTGTGGGTGAAAGGCTGTCGAGAGCTTTCTCTTGATTCCAAGCAGTGCCATAAGGGTAGACCAAAATTTCGATGTGAATAGCTTGTCCCTATCTGAGATGATTTCATCTGGTACACCGTGTATGCTAACTATATTCCGCATGAATATATAAGCAAGGTCATCTGCCGTCCAAGTTTCACAGAATGGTATCATATGAGCAAACTTGGTTAGTCTGTCCGTCACCACCAAGATGGAGTCGTACTCCTTCCGGGTGACTGGGTCTTTGGATAATGGTAGTTTTACTACAAAATCCCAAGCAATGGACTTCCATGGTTGAGTAGGTAGTTCGGGGGTCTTGAGCTGGCCATAAGGTGCATGCCGGGCGGCTTTATTTCTTATGCAGGTGTCGCAGTTCCCAACTACGTTCTCAACTATAGTCCTCATCTTTGGAAAGTAGACTTCTCTCCTTATTCTGGCAAAGGTTCTTGCAATACCTTGATGCCCGTGAGCTGGAAGCTCATGTTGTTCCGTGACGTAATCCTTAGCTAGACTTGAGGGTATGTAAAGCTTGCCATGAAAATGGATGAATCCATTTTCGATGGTGAATCCTCTTTCTGGATTGTCTGGTATAGCTAGGATTCTCTTGGCTGTAGTGTCTGTTGAGTATTCTGTCTTTATGATATCTTTGATAGTATCATAATTTACTCCTGATGTGGCGGCAAGTTGTGGTTTGTTGTGAACTAAAGCGTCGCCATCCTGCTTTAGTATTGCGCGTGATTCGTGTGTTTTGTTTTGTAAGTATTCTGGTTTTCGGCTGAGAGCATCTGCTCTAGCATTTTCGTTTCCTTTGACATATGAAATTCTGAAGTTGTAGGCGGCCATGGTTTCCGACCATCGGACCTGCCGTCTGTTTAATTCCTTCGTTGTGGTGAAGTAAACCAAGTTCTTGTGGTCTGTATACACCTGCACCGTGTATTTTGATCCTTCCAAGTACACTCTCCATTCCCTAAAAGCATCTACTATCGCTAGTAATTCCTTGTCGTATATCTCATAGTTTAGTTCGGCTGGCGATAGCTTGCGTGAATGGTAAGCGACTGGTTGCTATTTCTCATTCGAGCCGGGTTGGCTCAACACTGCTCCTATTGCGTAGTCTGAGGAGTCTGTTTCCACGATTATTGGTAATTCTGGGTCAAATGTTCTGAGGACTGGTTCTCCTGCGAATGCTTCGTTGAGGCGTTCGAATGCTTCTTGTGCTGTTTCTGTCCATCGGAATTCTCCTTGACTCTTCTTGGTGATCTCGGTTATTGGAGCGGCTATCTTTGAATAGTTCTTGATGAATCGTCGGTAGAAGTTGGCGAACCCCAGGAAGGACTGTACTTCCTTCACGCTGGTTGGGGGTTCCCATTCCATAACTGCTTTTACCTTGTTAGAACTCATCTTGAGACTTCCGGAGAATATGGTATAGCCTAGGAATTCCGTTTCTGTGACGTGAAATTCACACTTGCTAGGTTTGCATTGAAGATCTGCCTCCTCCAGTTGCTGCAGAACCTTATGAACGTCTTTAATGTGTTGTTCTTCCGTTTCCGAGAATACCAAAATGTCATCTAGATAGCATATACAGCATATATCTAGGTACTTCCTTAATACATTGTTGACCAAGCGCATACATGTTGCTGGTGCGTTTGTCAATCCGAATGGCATAACCTGATACTCGTATAATCCGTATCGAGTTCTGAATGCTGTTTTCCATTCTTCACCTTCCTTCATTCTGATGAGGTGAAATCCGTTTCGTAGATCAAACTTGGAGAAAATTTTAGCTTTTCCCAATCGATCCCTCAGTTCCGTAGCTAATGGAAGTGGGTACCGATCTTTGATCGTTATATCATTGAGCTTGCGATAGTCTACGCACAGTCTCCTTGTACCATCCTTCTTTGGTACAAATAGCACAGGGCTAGCTGCCTGTGAGGTGGATTCTCTGATCCATCCTTTTTCTAATGCGTCGGCAATGTAATCCCTAAGCGTCCTTAGGTCAGAGGCTGACATTGGATAGATTGGTCCAAATGGAGGCGTCTTGCCTTCCTTCAATACTATCTCGTGATCCCATGGCTTGTGTTCTGGTAAAGCTTCATGGCCTTTTCTTTCTTCGAATAGTTTCTTGTACTTCTGGTACTGTACCGGTATTGGCGTCTCGTCCTGTTTCTCTACAGGGGTGGTTTCAAGCAACTTCTTCTGCTTATTCTTCATTTGTACGGGAGGTTCACCTTCCTTCGCCGTTAATGGAGGACCCTGGACTGGGCGTCCTACGTCAGTGGTGCTGTTCGCCTTCAGTTCTCCACCGCGTGTGTTCAGCCTCGCAGGCTCTAGCGCATCTCGTTGATCGCTTCTCCTCGGAAATGATATAGTTTCCGATGACCAGTCAATCTGGGGGTTGTGTGCTTTCAACCATGGCATCCCCAGAATGATCTGTTGATTCCCTAGTGGAACAACATCGAACTGGATAACCTCCTTGTGCTGGGTTATACTCATCTGCAAAGGGCGAGTCTCCTGCGAAATCTTTCCGTCCAATCCGGCTAATTGTCCATCAACTAGCTGCAATTGATATGGGGTTCGTTTCGCCTGGAGCTGTACTCCCAAATGCTTCACAGTTCTTGGTGCAATAAAATTTCCCGTGGCCCCTGAGTCAATCATGGCCCGGATTACTCGTCCATTTATCTTCGCATTGCAGTAAATCTGTCCTGCCTGACCTGCGATATTTAATTGTCCTTGACCCAAAACCTTGTTGTGGTCAATTTGGTCGATTTGGTCAATTTGGTCGATTTGGTCAATTTGGTCGATTTGGTCAATTTGGTCAATTTGGTCAATTTTGTGTAACTGACCATTTAAATGATCATGTGACGATAATTTTTTCGACCTTCCCTTCTTGTAGGGTCCTTTTGCTTTTCTTTGGGGAAACCATCCTGTGGCTTCCTTATCTGATAGGTGAATTCTACAAGATTCATCGTAGCAAGCTATCCAGCTCATCGTCGCGTGTTCTACCGACGGTATTTCTTTCGGATCTTCTTTGATAAGGGGAGGTGAAGGGGTTCGTAGACGCTCCAACTCATATCGGTCTATGGCGTTCAACCCTTCCTGGTCTCGTGGCATTGCGTCAATTTCCTTTTGACGTTCTTCACGTTCGTAACTATCGTCTTCGATTGGATATGAAGCGCATAGTTGGGGTACAAAGGTAGCATTGAGTTGACCTTTGCCGAACTTCTTGTGATAACCTCCTCCTGATGATCTCTTGCTTCGACAATCCCTGGCCCGATGGCCTGGTTTGCCACATTCGAAGCATAGCTTGTCCTTGCGTCTTCGTTCTACCTCTTCCTTAGGTAGTTTGTTCTTAAACGTTGCATCCAATTGCATTGGTTTTCCGTAAGATTGTCTGTTTTCTCGAGGTCTTCCTTCATTCTTGTGGTACTTACCACGATCTCGGTTTCCATGGACGTTGGAAGATCGGCGTTCCTTCTGATACTCGTAGAGCATCTCATCCGCCTTAATAGATTCCTCGATTAACTTGTTTAGGTCTTCCCAAGTGCCATTGCGATCCAGTTCTAGCCTGACCTCAGGCTTGAGCCCTTTCCGGTAATGGCTCAACGTCGCGTTCTCTTCCCATCCAGTGGTACCTATATACCTCCTGAATTCCACAGCGTACTTGACTGCTGACCCTGTTTGCTTGAGGCCATAGATCTTGGACTCAGCGTCACGTAATTCATTGATGTTCCCGAATACTCGTCGTATCTCTCTCTTAAACCCTTCGAATCTCCCAAAGATGGCTTGAGTTGGGTACATTCGCTTCTTAGGCTCGCCCAAGTTGGTGAAGTAATCCTTGAGGTAAGGTTGAATCCACTTTGCGGCTTCTCCTCTGAGGTAGGAGGCAGCCCAGACGCTTTTGTCGGCGTCATGGTTGAACTTATCCTGATTGAATTGGAAGTAGATCTCAAGTTGGAGTAAGAAGGTTTCTAGCTCTTGTCGATTGCCTGTGAATCGGTCTGGTAGGGCGACTTTAAGAGTCTCGGTGACGGTAATCTCCTTGGGGTCTTCGATACCTCCCATAGCGATGTCTCCGTCCTTGTCGGTACTTTCGGGAGTGGCCTGGTTGGTCGTAGCGGGGTTGCTAGGCTGTGGTGTCGTGGAAGACATGATGTCGTTACTTATCGAGTCGGTACTTGAAGCAGTAATGGTGCTCAAAGTGTTACGAGGTTTGCCGTCTAGATCACGTGGAAGTGCTCCAGGCTCTCGAGGTGGTTTATAACTAGGCGTCAAGCAGGGACTTAAGTAATGACAATAATGATATGCAATTCGTAACTAATAGTAGAGTATACTAAATGATTGATCTTGAGCACGAAGCTCTACACAAAGGAAACCATCCTGATTATATAGACCTTCGTCCTCCATTGGATCTCTTGGATCCTGAGAGTTTGTGGACCTACGATTCGTATGGACCTACGATTCGTATCCCTGAATATGCAGGGTCCATCACGTGACTTGGATCAGACTATATGTCTGTGCTTGCTGAAGGTGGGGAGACTCTACGAACCGATTACCATACAAAATTGTATGCGAATCGGTTTGCTTTTCCACGGGGTCTAAGCTCATATGGACAGGTTGACTGTTACTACGTAACAGAAATGTCCAAAATAGTATATTCCCCAACACTTGTAAATTACTCCTTTCGATTTTTCCTATAATAAGTCTTTTACTAAAGATCAGTCTTTTCATATTCTTCAATCTCCTAATATAAATGTAAATTTCCCTCATTATAGAAAAAACAGTTAGTTTATTACTCAGTGGCTGCATCACAGAGAAAGTAATTATGCTATTGGTAAAGAACCTAGAGCAGAAACATACCAAACAAGCGCTGATTTTATTTGGCTTTCAGAGACCATTGTTAAAGCAAAACATTGATGAGCATCCGAAGTGGCAAGAGGTTCACATGGAGGTGGAAGAGATATGGTTTCGATTGGGCGATACTGTTAAGAAATGGAATGAACGGGTTGAAGTTGAGTTGGGTGTAGGTAGATGGGTTGAATAAGGAGTGTTTTGGAAACGAGATTGCTTGATGAAATTAAAAGAGCAAGTTGAGTGTTACGTAGTAACAGTCAACCTGTCCATATGAGCTCAGACCCCGTGGAAAAGCAAACCGATTCACATACAAAATTGTATGGTAATCGGTTCGTAGGATCTCCCCACCCTTAGCAAGCACAGACATATAGTCTGATCCAAGTCACGTGATGGACCCTGCATATTCAGGGATACGAATCGTAGGTCCATACGAATCGTAGGTCCATACGAATCGTAGGTCCATACGAATCGTAGGTCCATACGAATCGTAGGTCCATACGAATCGTAGGTCCATACGAATCGAAGGTCCACAAACTCTCAGGATCCAAGAGATCCAATGGAGGACGAAGGTCTATATAATCAGGATGGTTTCCTTTGTGTAGAGCTTCGTGCTCAAGATTTAGTATACTCTACTATTAACGTCCGTCCCTGCGTAGCGAGACGCACCCCATCACGAGACAAATCACAGGTACTTCGAACTCAAGCGGCCCCAAACCCACGAAAGCATCAGACAATTCACATATTATCATTCTATATGTCTTGAATGCTTCTCTGGAATACTTCTAGCTTCTTGCTTCCGAAAATTTTCATCGTATTGTCGCCGTTCGTCTGAATCATGGATAGGCTCTTTAACACAATAGGACCTCTCCACCCGCATTACTATTATTAAGATCTTTCTTCATTTTGAACTTGTATAACGACTGGGTATGAACTTTCACGTCTTATCACAATGCTGAGAAGTAAGTGCAAGTTTGGTGATGGGCTAGAGCATGCTATTTCATATGGCGTTGTCGCAGAGATGATACTTTTCCGACGAAGTAATTGAGGATATTAGTCAGCGATGGTGTAGTTCTAGCAATTTCTGTAAAAAATTTAATGAAGTCTGTGGCTGCTAAACACATGGTAATAGCGCTTGTGGCTTGATACAATCTCACCGAAGAATCCCGCTTCCCCGGTAATCTATAAATAGAGCAAAAAGTGGCTTGTGCGGAAAGAGTCTACAACCTTAGATGTGTTCATAATTGTTCCGACCTTTTGATCCCACCTATAGCACCCCATTGCTTTTTGACTTTAAAGAAACCAGTGTTTTAACAACAAAAAGCAAAGTTCTCTCAGAATCCAGTTTGTATTGAACAAGGTCTCTATAAAATGAAGTATTCTTCCCAATTTTTATTTTTTTGCCTCAGACATATAAGTGGTTAATCAGATTACGCTACGATACAGCCTCATTAGCAGCGTTTGCGACGACGATTGTATGTCTTTCTTATACCTAATTCTTTAACATCTCAATCTTTAAACTTTTTAATCTTCAAAATCGAGACCTTCAAATCGAAGTGTTTACGAAAATTTGTCGAATCAGCGATACAAGTTGTATTTGTTACAATAACGCTTGCGAACCTCCAGTATATCTTTTATACATCTCTTGCAATGCAAACCTGACAGCGAGATCGTTTTTTGCGAACCGACTAGCGGCGAAGTCCCTCCTTATATTATACTATCGTATACATGGGGACCAAATGATGAGAAAGTTACCTTTGAGGATATCCTAAATAGTATTAGCGAGGTCAAGCCTGATTATGAGAAAATCCGATTCTGTGGAGAACAGGCTAGACAAGATGGACTAGAATACTTCTGGATCGATACTTATTATATCAACAAGAGCGATGATGCTGAACTCTCACAATCTATCAACTCTATATTTCGTTGGTATTGCAATGCAATCCAATGTTATATTTATTTGTTGAATATCTCTAAATATTCCATTAGTAATAATTATAAATGTATTCCGCAACTATAGGAATCGGATTTATAAAAGAATAAATGGTTCACTTGAGGCTAAACACTTCCAAAGCTTCTTGCCCCAGTATCGATCGAGTTTTTTTTTCGGGAATGTGGATGGTTTGGTAATAAAGGTTCTCTAATAATCCAAATTGATAAGATAACTAATATTCCTTGTATAACGTTTGAGGGACAATCGTTGTTTCGATTTAGCGTCGAAGAGTAATTGCAGTGGATACAACACCGTCAGACTACACTGGCAGAAAATAAAGTGTATTCCTTATTAGGCATTTTCGATATCTATATACTTCCTATCTATAGCGAGGGATTTATATGTGTATATAATCAGCTTCTAGACAAGTTCTACAAGATGCAGAAATGTATCCAAGACTTACGTCTTTCCGATCCGCATAACAACAAAAAGCATATTGAAGAAATGAAAGGCGATATACTATAGGGCTCATACAATTGGATCTTGGAAAACTCCGATTTCCGACAATGGCGCAACGATCAGCAGAGCCGGCTACTTTGGATCAAGGGCAATCCTGGCAAGGGCAAGACGATGCTCCTTTGCGGAGTTATCAATGAACTAGAGAAGTCTGGGGCTAAGCCGGTTCTTTTATCTTACTTCTTTTGCCAGGCTACCGACTCCCGAATCAACTATGCTACAGCCGTCTTATAGAGTCTGATCTATTTGCTTGTTGATCAACAGCCGTCTTTCATTTCGCATTGTAAGGGTTAGAACCCATATGGATGTTCGGGCCACAGCCCTCGCTGAGCACTGACTTCTATGCTGTTCTCCATATTTCTAGAATCATCTACAGTCCTTTCTCTCTATTATATATATGGAGACACTTTCATATACATAGTCCTCATGCACTTCTTAACAGATTTACCTGAACCTATGCCTTTGAGTTATTCGAGGTCTAGCCTCTCACATGTCCGAACAATATTTGAAAAGGATATTCCGTTTTGGATTAAGCAGAAGCCTATAGTAGAATCATATTGGAATGCGATGCTACAAACGCTTGAAGGCTATACAAGCTACGTTCACTTAGTCGCTTTTTCGCTTGATGGCAAGCAGGTCGTATCTGGATCTTGGGATAATACAGTACGGCTTTGGGATACAGCGACAGGGCAACAAATTCAGCCAACACTTGAAGGCCATACAAGAATCGTTTACTCAGTCGCTTTTTCGCCGATGTTAAGCAGATCATATCTGATTTGGATAATCCAATATTGCTATATACTTTAGCCGTATCAGATGACTGGATTACTAGAAATAGTACAAATATTCTTTGGCTACCATCTGATTATCGCACAACAGTCACTGCCATTCATCGTGATTCTGTTGTTTTAGCACAACCCTCTGGGAGAACTTTTTTTGAATTTCCATATAGATCAGAATTCATGTAATACAGGTTGCTCTGACAGTCGGTCATGCGATATTGTAGGATCTACAGTAGATTCTACTATAGCTGGCACAACATCGAAGGGCGCTACAACATCTATTCTATACCCTTTAGCTAGTTTGTTCAGTCTATGTATAATTCAATAGAAACCAGATAACGTCCATCCCTGCGTAGCGAGACACCCTGTGTGCCGAGACAGACTGTTGACCTCCTGGGATCTTGGCAGCATATGCATATATAGTACATATGCATATAAGGAGCAAACAAAACTCAACTTTTAATTCATTCTTTCCTTTTTGGTATACTGTTTGTTTGCTTTCAATATTTTGATTTCAAAGCACTTTAATTCCGAAGGCCGAATACCTAACCTATTCCTTCATTTTTTTTCAATATATACTCGCAGCTTAACTGCTCAGCTAAAAAATCAATCAATTCAATCTGATACTCTTTCTGGTCTTAAGAAACCCAACACAGACTAACGAAATTGAATGACTTTTGAGATAAATATATTGCTACATTAAGAGAAATAGTGTGAAGAACATATTACGAAGTCTGAATATGAACATTTTTTAGTGTTGTTGGTTTCAAAGAGATAACTACTCTATTTATCTGATAATTAGGTAAAGTTATATTATTCTCTTTCTACTAAGGATCAATCTCTAATTCATTTGTCTGCCATTCAAGTAATATTGCACCGAAGGGCAATGTATTAGGGTGATGAGTACCTATAATCCTAGTCAGTAATAATACACATTCTTCCATAAGCTTAAGGGCCTTTTTGTCTCGGCCAAGTCCCTTCCATGTGAGGGCAAGATTATTCATGCTGGCCAGCGTGTCTGGATGCTCCTGCCCTAACACCCTCTTTCTCGTCTCCATCACTTGCACCTCCAAGTCTTCGGCCTTAATTCCAGCGTCCTTGATTCCAAAATGTCGAAGCCAAGTTGGCCATGCTGGTCAGCGTGTCTGGATGCTCCTGCCCTAACACCCTTTTTCTCGTCTCCATCACTTGCACCCCCAAGTCTTCGGCCTCCTTCCAGCGTCCCTGATTCCAAAATGTCGAAGCCAAGTTGGCCATGCTGGTCAGCGTGTCTGGATGCTCCTGCCCTAACACCCTCTTTCTCGTCTCCATCACTTGCACCTCCAAGTCTTCGGCCTCCTTCCAGCGTCCCTGATTCCGGTATGTCGAAGCCAAGTTGGCCATGCTGGTCAGTGTGGAAGGATGCTCCTCCCCGAAAACACTCTTGTGCCTCTCCATTACTTCCACAAACGGTACCTCAGCCTCATTATATCGTCCATCACTAAGGAGACACGCCCCAAATCTCCGCGACAGAGCAATCCTGGTTTCCCTATCTTTGCCAGCTTCATCAGACATTAGCGCATAACATACATGTGGCAAATACGTCCTCCATGTAGTTCTATTTTGGTGGTCATCGTTTGGGAATACTTCCTCTAATCGTATAATCGCCCTTTCGGTCCATTGGGTGATCAGATCATTTTGCTGAAGCCAATTTCTCGTTGCGAGATGCACTAGTCGGTGAAGATCAAGAGCTTGGTCTGCCACTCGCTTAATAATAAACGAGTAAGCGTCAAGTGTCCCAATTGCAATCTTATCTTCCTTTTTTCCAGACCTTCCTGCCGGTAGATCAGACTCGGGAATTTCCTTGGGGTCTATTTCACGTTGCCATAAGCGATAGGTCGGTGAAGATGCAAGAGCTTCCGGATGCCGTCTCTGCTCAATCGAGATGAACCATGTAGTAGCCACAAGGTTTTTCAATAGTATCGTATCTCCCGTTTTCTTCAAAACCTTCCTGCCGCCCTTTAGAAGAGATTCAGTAATAAGATCCTTTTCTTGTCTATACTTTCTGCAATGAACGATAGATTAGCCCGCTGAACGGCAGTCCCTATCTCGTTAATATATGCTGCTTGCCAATGAACCAATTAGCGCCAAGTGCCCGAAGGGTATGTGAGCTCCTTTTTTAGTAGGGCCCCCGTCCGGTAGAAGATTCTGGGGTCTATTCGTTAACCAGATCAGGATCAACCTAAACACTTTCTGGAAGCAGGGTGCTGGTTAATCCCGCTAACGTCTTCGCCCATTCTCTTTGGTATACCCTCCTACCCGGAATATTTTGGTGTGCAAGCTTAACGGCAGTTCTTTCTGTCGCGCCCGTTGTGAAGGGACGATTGTTAACCATCCTTGGCTTCAACTTCGTGGGAGGGCAGTCGATTAGACGGCCAAGGAAATCCCTTTGACCTTAGATACAGGTTGACTCCCACAATAATTGACATCGTCCAAGCATTATCGGAAAACTTTAAGACGCGCGCACCGAACCTGCGCTTTTCTTTGCTCAGATAATTTTGCAACGAGTTTCTTTTGGATCCGCCTTATCCCTACGACCTCGCCTAGAAAGGGTTCCTCGAGGTTATTGACATCGGCAAGCATTATCGGAAAACTAAGAGCCACCCGGCCTGAAGCCGCTTTATCTTTGCTCAGGTAATTTTGCACGAGTTTCTTTGCATCGGCCTTATCCTCGTCCGAGCCACGGGGATCTTGAGTTTGGCGGGGCCAACTTTCTCGAAAATTATCGTTCCACCTCCTTCCAGCTTCCTTTGTTCAGATAATTTTGCACCAAGTTTCTTTGCCATCAGCCTTATCCTCGTCCGAGCCAGGGATCTTGAGTTGGCGGGCAACTTCTCGATATGCTTGATGAAGACTTTCCGTATTGGTTGCGGGTATCCAGATCACTAAGCAATCCTTATATCTATCCCTTATTCGATAGACAAGTTCAAGCAACAGCTGGGTCTTGCCTATTCCCCCGAGCCCTGTGATGGCAACTTTTGTCATTCGACCTCCTGTAAATAGTTTTGCTTCCACCTCGGTAAGCTGTGTTCCACGACCGATAAAGTTGAGATTTCTGCCGAATGGGACAATAAATGAAGCGGTATTATCTATAAAATAGTGTTTAGTATAGTCAAATCAGGTTAGATCTGCCATACCTTTAAGATCTTTCGGCTCGCTCTCGTTAGTGGAGAACCCCTTGACTGTCATTTCGAGCCTTTTCAGTGCGACCTCCTTTCCCTCGCCATAGATTGGTGGCATAGACACCTCGCAGAGGCCTAACAGGCAGTAAACCAGGTCTTCTTCTTCGGTTGTCTGGCGTTGTGCTACCCATCTTTTCCGCTCAGCGATACTAAAATCAGAGAAAGGATCCCCTCGCAGAGCCTGAAATGGAATTCGGGTAATCTCATAAATTAGTTTTTCGAGTGACCTTTTGTCACCAAGTAGCTTGCGCTCTTGAGAGAAGAATTCGACTTCCGCTGGAGCAATAAGTTCTTGAAGTGTCCAGCCTCTAGTAAACCATCTACTACTCCGAAAGGCTACTTCCCACGTGCTCTGGTTTGCTTGGACATATACGTCATCGCCAGGGGTCGATACATCCGTGAGATATACCTAAAGGCTACTTCCCACGTGCATTTGGTTTGCTGCGGAACATATACGTCATCGCCAGGGGTCGAAACATCCGTGAGATTATACATAGCATTTCTTCGCATTTCGATACCAGCAGGAACGATAGACATTATTAGCCTTCGAAAGCTCAGTAAGATTCGATCTTGTCGAATACAACAAGTGCTCTACCCAGAAATATCGAAGGCCATCTTTATATGTGACCTCTTGTTCTCTACAAATACTTGAATCTTTTGTGTAGGGAAGGCTTGCATTGCGCAGCACCACTGATCAGGCCTGTATACGCCTGGCCTTTTCATCTGTCAAAGTATGTGAAAGGATTGCGAACGGCTAGGGATATCGCGGGTGTCTAAGGAAGGATGAGGCTGAGATTCGCCCAAACTTCTCATCTCTAAAAGAAGCATAATTGGGAGCGGTTAGGGATTAAGATTATCTAAGGAAGTTGATGTGAGAAAAAAATCACAATTCTATACCAGGATGAAGTGTAGGATAAAATTATCGAATGTAGAGTAGTCCCATCGCGCGGTGGGGATGCCTTGTAGCATGTGATTATTGCATTTCGAGTGGCCCACAGCGCGGTGGGGAGGCCTGTAGCCTGTGATGCATTTCGTGGCTTAAGGCAATCCGTAGTCACAATGCCATCGAATTGTGGCTTAAGCAATCCGTAGTCACAGTACCAGCAAATGATTCGTCGAGATTCAGTACAGCAAATGATTATACGTGTGTATAATTTAGAGTAACGCAGTTTTTCACTGATTCAGCCACTTTTTCAACTCATTCCCTAACTCCATCTTTCTTTTCTCCATCACTTATACATTCAATTGATTTAACCTATTCCTTATCCAATAAGCTAGGGTCCATTATATTATTAGAACAAGTTCTTGAATTGTGAGCCAGTCTTTCCACATTTACTACAGCATCGATTAGTACCAAAATGTCGAAGCCAAGTTGGCCATGCTGGTCAGCGTGGAAGGATGC